GTCCACGCAATGCAGAGGCGAGACTCGAAGTGGACATCGTGCCAACGTTGGCACGTCACTGCAAAATTTTCAAAGTCTCAGATTCTGGTGCGAGCTTTTCTTCTTTGGCTTCGACTTTCCAGCCACTATCGCGCGCAAATCTGCAATTTGGTCGCACGAAAATCACCAATTTTCAAAAATCGACAACGCGGTGGTGAAAATATCGCGTTGGGTCATTTCTCTTGCTGTTCGGAGAGCCGCACGATTTGTTACAAATACGCTTCCTGCTCGGCTCTTTTGCGGCTGTGACGTGTCGAGGGCCCGTGGCCATACGTTGCCCAGTCGCAAGATCGCGCGTTACGCTAATAGGTACTGATTCTCCGCCACGTCGTTGAGCTGGAGCACATGTGTCGCGAAGCGTTTGGACCTCTCGTTCCGCAGTGCAATCTGGCGGAATACACACGCATTTACCACGCGATTCACTTTCTCGACGTGAAAAACAGAGGCGCTCCTCGCCCGCGACGCTGAGCTCTCGCTAGGTGGGTGGACAAGAGACCTCAGCGCCGGACGTGGAGCGGTCCACCGACGCGGCGTCTGTTGGTCAAATGTGCAGCCCCACATAAGCTTCGACTTCCAGTGACCAACCGCGAACGTTAGCAATGCCTCCTTCTTATTGGTTTCTTATTGCGCATCTCTTCTTACTCTTCGTACGCGGTATCGTTTGATGGGGACGCCACGTGCTGCGACGCCAGCGACCGATCGCTGTCCGTGGCGGATCGTGTCCATGGCGCCACCCACTCTCGCACCGCCGAGCGCGACGGCTTTGTACCCGCGTCTTGGCCCTTGCATCGCTCTTGATCGAAAGGCTGATGGACTCAACTGCAGATCTTGCGCGGGCGAGCGTCGTGGCCGACCCCATCGACCCGAATGTGATATTTGCGATCGACCAGGTGAGAAACACCAGCAACTGATTTTCACACGCACCAGATGGTGCTCGAGCTCGCAGAAAAAGGCAGGTGGCGCAGTTGGGCATTTGGCAATTGACCATGAACTGGATCGGTCTTGGGGTACACCGCGCTACTAGACCGGACGGACTTCACGCAAGATGTACTAGGAGGAGAGCAAGCTCGCGGCCGCGGCCGCCCACGGCGACGCCGACGTGGTCCTCGCACTGCTGCAAGCCGGTGTGCCGCCGACCGCCAGCAAGCTCGTGCGTCTCGCCCATCCCGCTCTGCACAACTCACGCTACGTGACGCTAGGGCTACTCGGCGCTCTTCAACGCGGCGTGGGGCAACAACATCTCGATCGTCGAAGCGCTTCTCGAGGCCGGCGCGAACCCCGATACGGCGACCTGGGTACGGCGTCCCATCACCCGACCATCATTTCTCATGGTCACTGTGCTAGTTTGGCGTCACGCCGCTGCTGGTTGCTGTCGGAAAAGGCCATACGCGCATCGTGGAGCTTCTCACCGCCGCCAACGCGGACGTCAACACGACCGACGTGGTACGAGGCGCTACGATCTTATCGCATCTCATGTACGATTGTGCGACAGTGGGGTGGCTCGGCCATCTTTCGAGCCGCTGAATGCGGCAACACCGACATGCTCGCGCTGCTCATTGCTGCCAACGCGCACCTGGACGCGCCGGACAAGGTCTGTCACCCACGGCAGATTGGACGATCGCTCACGTTTCACGCTAGCATGGTCGAACGCCACTGCTCGTCGCTGTCCTCCATGGCAACAGTGACGTCGTCAAGCTCTTGGTCGACGCCAACGCCGACTGCAACTACCCCACGCGCGTATGTCGGTCCTTGTTGCAGCGTCGACGGAGTTTATCAAGGGCGTAGGACGGCATGTCGCCACTGATGCTGGCCTTGTCGGCCGGTCAGCTCGCGATCGCACAGCTCTTGATCGACGCCCAAGCAAATGTCCACCAGACCAACCTCGTACGATCGTTTTTCCGATTTTTCAACGTTTTTCTGAAATTTGTTTAGGCCGGCGACTCGGTGCTTTTTCAAGCCGTGCGCTCGGGCAACACGGCGATGGTCGAGCTCGTGGTCGCGGCAGGGGCCAACGTCAACCACGCCAACCGGGTAGCCATTGCGATTGATATCTTGAAACTGTATTGATACTATTTGGACTAGGATGGGATCTCGCCGCTCCTTCTCGCCGCTACGCAAGGCTACTCGGCCATTGTCCGCATCTTGCTGGCCGCCAACGCCCACGTGCACAGCTGCGACCAGGTAATCGCATCCACTGTTTCGAAACAGAATGTGCCTGAAGACGCGATGTAGCATGGCACGTGTCCTCTGCTCGCAGCGGCCCACTTTGGCCACGAAGACATCGTGCAGCAGCTCCTCGAAGCTTCGGCGAGCCCGCATGTGAGCAACAAGGTACTAGCTATTGCGACACGAGCGCCACTCATGATTCAAAATGACTAGCTTGGCGAGTCGCCCGTCTACCTCGCTGCCATGCACGGTCGCTCTCGCATCGTCGCTCTCCTCGTACAGTCGCAAGCCGACGTCAACCAAACAACCAACGTACATCGTTCGCGATTGCTGCGACACGAGGTACTATCTCCTACTATAGCTAGGCTACACGGCACTGCTGCAAGCTGCCGACAAGGGCGACAGTGAGATCGTGCAGCTGCTTTTGGCCCACGGCGCCGACCCGAACCTGTGCACACCGGTGCGCTCCTGAGCTGTCCAACGACCGACGCTCATCAATGTGCTAGCTCGGCGACTCGGCCCTCCTCGCCGCCACCGAAAAGGGCAACGCGCTCATCGTCCAGAGCCTCATGCTTGCTGGCGCGGCCGTGAACCAGTGCAATCATGTAGCATCCTACACTTGTGATTCGACCCCAGCTCATTTCCGCTCTGTAGGTTGGCTCGGCGCTCACGTATGCTTGCTTCCTCGGCCACGCAGAGGTCGCCCACTGCCTCGTCGCGGCCGGCGCCGACGTCAACCTCTGCGATGCTGTACGTTCCCACCCACGTAGTCAGAAGGAAGACTCATATATCGTGCACTTAGCGTGGCAATCGCCCGATCTTGAAGGCCGTCCAGATGGGCCATGTTGATGTGCTGCTCATTCTCTGGAACGCGGGTGCTAGCGTCGACGACGCGCTCCTGGTAGACTGCCCGCATGGTGGCGAAGGAAGCTCACAGAAGAGTGTAGGAGACGCTGGTGCGCGTGGCCAAAGCCCGAGGACACAGTCGTGGGCTTCAGATTCTCGCGCCCGAGGCCGTCGAGGTTGTCGTCAAGTGCTGTGACGAGACGACGCCGCTGGTCGAGTCGGCGGCTCCGCTGGCCGCCATCGCCTAGTGCACCATTTCTTTTAATTATAAACAGGATGTCCTGTGTCGATTTAGTCTTCTATAGTCCATGTACTATAACTTGCAACCAGTCGGTTGACAACCCGACGACATGCATTGCAGCGACACGATATTCACCACTGTCAAGCGTAAAGCACAAAAACCACACACTCAAACTATTTTTCACGTGTGCAATTCACTAGGCGTTTTTCACCACTATCACGTGTGTAACATAAACACACGTAGTTTAACGCACTCCGGCTTCAATTCTCACATGTGGAATTTTCAGAGTGTGAAATGATTTTGCAGCAATTCAGCAAAAATATATGGCGGTCGCCGACTGGGTCGGCCTTGGCGTACGTCGCTCCCGCCTCCGCCGCCGTCGCTCACGCATGGCGCTAGGACGAAGCCAAGCTCGTCGAAGCAGTCGCATGCGGCGGCGTCAGCACGGTCGCCCTTTTGCTGGAGAAAGGCGTGTCCCCCGATGCGTCCAAACGCGTGCGTCCCAACGACTCTGTGCTGCGACGTCATGCCGCCTGCATGCTAGGGCTATTCGGCCTTGTACGTCGCCTTGAAGCGCGAGCAAGCGGCCATCGTCGAGATGCTTCTTACCGCAGGCGCCAATGTCGACAAGGCGGCGTGGGTACAGCCTCATCCCTTGGTGCACTCCTCTGAGGCTTCACGCCTGCGCGGCTAGTATGGAATTACGCCGCTGCTGCTATGTGTGCGCCAGCGCAACGCCAAGTTGGTCGAGCGGTTGGTGGCTGCTGGCGCGGACGTCAACAAGCAAGATACGGTATCTCAGTAGCGAGAGTAGACTTCTGTGGCTTCAACGGGACGCGTAGTGGGGCACGACGCCGCTAGCCCTCGCGGTCGAGGTCAAGAACTACTTCATTGCGCGCACACTGCTGACCGCGGGGGCCGACCCCAATACTTGCGACTCGGTATCGACCCTCTTTTGTTGAGCGTCGATGCGAACGAATAGGTAGCGAGGTCGCAGCGCTGTGTGGCTAGCGGCCAACGCCGGCCTCGACTCGATTCTGCGCCAGCTCTTGGCTGCTGGCGGCGACGTGCATCTCGCCACGAAGGTACCGTATGGGCATCGCTGCTCATTTGCTATTGAATGGCTAGCTTGGAACATCCCCGCTCATGGCGGCCGTGTCGGCCAAGCATTATAACACCGTCAGCGTCCTCATCAAAGCGGATGTCAATGTCAATCAGCAGGATGCGGTGCGATCTCCAATCGAACCTCAATCTCAATGTTAAAGTGTGCAGATGGGACGTACGGCGCTTTTCATGGCCGTACTGGCGGAACACAGCGTGCTCGTCACCGCGCTTGTCTCGGCCCGCGCCGATGTCAACCTTGCGGACAAGGTTATACACCTTAGCTGCATGAAACTCATGGTAGTGTTATATCTGCGTAGGAGGGATTCACGCCCCTGCACGCGGCTACGACGGTCAAAAATTGCTATTCGATCGCAAAACTGCTGCTCGCAGCGGGTGCTGACATCAACCTCACCACGAATGAGGTGTGTTGATTTCAATAACCTCGGCCTTCGGCATCGAACCCTGGACTAGGTGGGCCAGTCGGCGCTTCTGATGGCAGCCAAAGGCAACCAAACAGCGCTCATCCAGCTCTTCGTCAACTCCGACGCCATGCTCGACAGCAAGGATAAGGTAGCCAAAGTTGGTCTTCGAGAGGCGCTCACATCGTCGTAGCTGGAAGTGTTTCCGCTCTTTGCAGCGACCAAGCACCGCAACACCGCGATGGTCGAGCTTCTTTTGGCCAAAGGGGCCAACCCGAACCACACCATGATCGTACATTGTGTGTCTCGTACCACATCCATCACTAGATATGTTTTTGACTAGAACGACGTGTCGCCTCTGTACTATGCAGCGTACTACGGCTATAGCGATGTCGTGCGGCAGCTCACGGCGGCCGGCGCGAATCCCAACACGGCGACCGCTGTAGGACTCTATCAAGTTGATATTTTTGCATCATATGCGTGCAGGCACACGATACGCCGCTGTTGGCGGCGGCGCGGCACGGACACACACTCACGGTGGACTATCTACTGCAAGCCAACGCTGCTGTCAACTGTTATAACGCGGTAACAGATTGTCACGCAGACGATGACCGTTGATATAACTACATTGACTAGAGCGGTATGACGGCGTTGATGTTTGCAGCCCGAGGCGGCCATACGGACATTGTCAAGCTGCTGCTCTCGGCCAATGCCGCTGTCTACAAGCACGACGTCGTATGTCCCTCGCACACTACGTTTGCTAAAACTTATTTGCTCTGTAGTACGCCGAGTCGGCGCTCTTGAAAGCGACGCGGAAGGGACACGCCGAAATCGCTAGCCTCTTGGCGGCTGCAGAAGCCGGTTGCGTCGAGGCCGTACCGACTATCAACTGTTTGTATCAACTTCTCAAGCCCCGCGTAGGCCTCGACCGAACCAGAAACTGGAGACTTTGCGCCGAGTAAAACGTTGCACGTGCAATGCCGCTTGCTGCATTGGATGACGCACATTGCGATAACTGTGGTAAATCGCTACTAATATACTAGTAGTTGATAGCACTTTGGCTGGAGAACAGAATTTCAGCGACTTCTGCAAGCATCGCCACCCAACCGGTTTATAGGTCGCTCCAAGATGCCAGTTGATGGCTGCTCTGCTGCCAACACGCCGCCGTCGCAGAACAAGCGCAAATAAACAGTGGATGTTTCGGGTACATGGTGTAGCTCCTCACTCGCATCACCTCGTGCGCGAATAGCACGGGAGTTTGGCAGTTGAGAATCACACCTTCTTTTGTCCCAGCTCGTGTGCTGTTGTCCGAACTTTGTCTGTTGAGGCATGACAAGAAGGGACAGAATTTTGAGCGCAGCGCGATCTTGCAGCTCCTCCTTCTTCCAAGGTTGCCGGTATCGTAGATCGACACGGACCAGTCGTTCAGAAGGGGCAAGGCCCGGACGCTGGGTAGCTCGACTGGGTACTCGGAGAATTCCGGCTCCTCCCATGGTTTTGGCTTGCAACACAATACACAGCAGCACGGCGTCTCGACACTCGACACTGCGTCCACAGCTTCTGTCTGCTGGCACCTCGCCACTCTACAGTCCGTACAGTACTGTAGCTGTCGGAGACAGCATCGCGATCTGACGCGAGATGACCTTTTCTCAAGCTTGGTCAAAGTGCAACGTGGGGCCACCAGGAAATTTCACGAGCATCTCACCGGCCCCGTTCTTTGCACATACTGCGCATGCTACCAACGCGCGACCCGCAAGCCAGCGTCGGCGCGCCAGCGTGACTCGCGCCGCCCTCCGGGGTGGCTGGTCCAAACTCATTTATTTCAAATTTTAAGACCAACCCGACGCGCTGTCGACGCCATCGACGCAGCAAGGACGATGCACGGCGGACCAGGTATGAGGATGAGTACGAGTGCTGCCGGTTGTGCAGCGGCAGCTTGTGGCAGCTCCTGATCACAGTCTGGACTTTAACGCGTGTGCGTTAAATGTGTTTAATCATCAAACCATCATTCTGCATGTCCCAAACACCCATTTGCGAATTTGCGTGGCATGGCGATTGCCGACCTCTTTGGGCTTGGGGTATGGCAACCACCCGAGATGCATCGGTGCGACGCGAGCGTAGGACGAGAGCAAGCTCGCGAAAGCGGCTGGCCACGGTGACGCCGCCACGGTCTCGGCGCTGCTCAAGCAAGGCGTGAGTCCCAACGCCACCAAGCTCGTACGTCGTCGTCGCAGCGCTTGCGATCTTGTCGGCTCAAAATATGTATCTTTGCTAGGGCTACCCCGCGCTCTTCAGCGCCGCATGGGGCAACAGTCTCGCGATCGTCGAGATGCTCGTCGAAGCCGGCGCCAACGTCAACCAGCGCGCCTGGGTACGGCAGCCAACGGCTCTCGCCATCGCCTGATGCACGCTTCCTGCTACGTAGTTTGGCACGACGCCGCTTCTCGTGGCCACTGGCAAAGGCCACGTACGCATTGTCCAAGTTCTTATTGCGGCCAACGCCTTTCTCAATAAGCGCGACAAGGTGCGATTCGGACGGTATTTTTGGCGTAACCATACCTGGCACTGTTAGTGGGGCGGCACGGCGCTCTTCCTCGCGGCCGAGCGCGGCAGCCTCGAGATGACGTCGCTGCTTATCGCGGCCAATGCCAATCTCAACAAATCCGACCACGTAGATTTGAGTTGAAGTTGGAGTTGAACGATGATCGTGTTGTCTAGTATGGCCGGTCGCCGACGTTGATTGCGGCGCAGCACGGACACACGGACGTCGTCGACGCGCTCGTCAATGCCCACGCCGACTACGACAAGCCCAACCGAGTACGCACACTATCTCTATTGAAAGATATATAGATTGATACATCTTATCGTAGCACGGCGAGTCGCCGCTCATGGTGGCCGCGCTGGCCAACCACGTCGACACGGTAGTGCTCTTGCTCAACACGGGCGCGGACGTCAACCAATGCAACCGGGTACGCATGACAATAGTGTCGTCGAACGAGGTCGCATGCTGGCACTAGCACGGCGAGTCGATTCTGCTGCAAGCCGCTGGGAAAGGCCATCTCGTGGTCGTGGACCTCTTGCTGCGTGTCGGCGCCGCCATCGACACGCGCAGTCTTGTACGTGATCTGGTTGGATCTCGGTGACGACGTCGCATCATGCGGTTAGAACGGCAGCTCGGCGCTTTTGGTGGCGATCGCGGAGGGCCATGTCGATGTCGTTCACCTCCTCGTGGACGCCGGCGCCGACGTCAACCAGTGCGACCAGGTTTGAATCAACCGAATGGAGCTGTACAACAACGTGATCGTAGAACGGCATGTCTCCGCTGCTGCTGGCCACGTACCATGGGCAGCTTGAACTGGCCCTCGCCCTCATCAACGCCAGTGCCGACCCGCACAAGACCAACAACGTACGTTGCACTCGGTCGGTTTGCAGCTTGGACGCGTTATTTGCTTAGCTGGGCTCGTTTCCGCTGCTGGCTGCCGTGTCCCAGGGCCACCACGGACTCGTCGACCTCTTGTTACACTCGCCCGTCAACGTCAACCAAGCCACAACCGTATGCTCCGTCGATTTGGCTCCCAAGGCTCAAGATCTATCTTGTAGGCAGGACACACGCCGCTCATGCGTGCTGCCGACCTCGGCCACCTCGCGATTGTGCAGCTGCTAGTTGCCGCCGACGCCGACACCAACTTGGAGAGCTTGGTGCGTGCATTGGACGCGATCGACAACAAACCTCGTTCTATCTCATAGACGGGCGACACGGCGCTCATTTTTGCAGCCTTCCGCGGCCAGTTTGAAATGGCCCAGCACCTCGTGGCGGCCCAAGCCAACATCAACCACTGCAACAAGGTAGCTCGAACCAACTATAAATTGTCGTATCTCACATGCAACTAGGTGGGCGTGTCGGCCGTGAGCCTCGCGGCCGCTGGTGGTCATGTCAACATTGTCCATTTGCTCATTGCAGCAAACGCCGATATCAACAAGTGCGACTGCGTACGTCCCCAACCCCCACTAGTAAGGCAGATTGACTAACGGTGGCTGCTTGCAGAGGGGCGAGACGCCGATCTTTAAGGCTGCCAGGAATGGCCACGCGCAGGTTGTCGAGCTCCTGTTCATGGCGGGAGCTCAGATCCATCAGCCAGACGAGGTACTTCACACAACTATGGGCGACGCGGGGGTTGACGCGGGGTAGGTGAATCCGCTGGCTGTGGCGCGGCGACGGGGCCACCGTCATATTGTACAGCTGCTGGAGGTGACGCCGATGGCCATTCCTCTCGTATCAATCACATTGCCGACCGAGTCGACGCCGCTCGCTGTCTAGCGACCAAGTATGTTAATTTAAGCGTGTTGTGTTTAAACGCCTGCGTTAAACGACCGCTGACAGGATGAGTTGTTGCTCATGGGTTGTGGGGATTGCAATCTGGTTCGCTGATCGCGGTCGACGAGCCAAAGCGCACCCAACGAGCGCGGGCTTGCCGGCGCCAACTGCATGATCGTCTTGACTCTTTGCTGGCGACTGCGATGTAGCTACTCGGTGAACCCCGATTCGCACCCAGAGCACACTCGAGTCGCGAAAGCACTTGGTAAACTGCCACGTTGATATCCTGAACCCTGAATATAAAAATACAAAATTGCAATTATCTCAATTTTCGAGACTTTCCGGTCGCGTCAACCATGTTGCACGCAGGTTCTTGGGAACTCTGCGCTTATGTTTATCGTTGGTACGAGTGCTATAAGTATAAATGGTAGCACCAACGCACTCCATCGCATCGTCCTTGGCACGAGGCAGCAGACTGGACCGCCGACAGGCGGGAATTGTTGGATTTTTCCGATTTTCTCGAAATATCTTGCTCGCTCGACGTGATTGGCTAAAACAGACCAATCCAACGCAGGGTGCGTTTGGTCTAGCCAATCAACAGGCGGTGCTTCAAGTTGCCATCAGCTTTCAGCGCTGAATTACGTGTCTTTGGGTCGTCCATGGACAAGACGCTAAGATCTGGTTCCACGGCCGCCATCGTGCCACTCGGTACCCGGTATTGAAGACGCTGGCGACGTGTGCGTGCGACTGTACCCGATCAAAGGTACAGTCCTCCACGGCCCGTCCCACGACCAAGTGCCCAGCGTCCATCACTGGCGCGCCGCGTCACTTGCACCCATGAGAAAGGTGCAGTTGCACTTGTACGTCACCGGCGCAGGTCATTTCCAAACACTTGCTGCCACCAAACATGGGCGTGCGCGACTGGTTTGGCCTCGGGGTGCGCACAGCCGCATTCACCGACCGACTCATGCCCTATAGGACGAGAGCAAGCTCGCGCAAGCGGCCGGCGCCGGCGACCTCTCGCTCGTGACGTCGCTCCTCGCGACAGGTGTGAACGCCAACGGCATTTGCCTCGTACGAGCACTTCTTCCACGCAGCGCTCAGCGACTGGCGGTGTAGGGCGTACCAGCGCTGTACAAGGCAGTCGTCGCCAATCACGCTGCGATCGCCCGGCTTCTCGTTGAAGCAGGCGCGAACCCGGATTCGCCGACGTGGGTGCGTCCTGTCGCGCGCGTCGACTTTGCGCTTACCAAATTGCGTAGACCAAAGCAGTCCCTTTGGTAGCCGCCGTCATCCGTGGCCACACGAGCTGCGCCGCGCTACTCATCGAAGCTGGCGCGAGTCTTGATGTGCTCGATCGGGTAACTCCGTCCACACCGATCGTCTCGTTTGAATGTATGTCATTTCGTAGCGTGGCGACTCGCCGCTGTACATTGCTGCTGACGGCGGCTACGCCGACATTGTGCGACTTCTTGTTTTGGGACACGCCAACGTCAACCTCTGCAACGCGGTAGCCAGCGATCGAGTCTCTCCATTCGCTTACGTGGGAGCGTAGACGGGGCAGTCGCCGCTCTTTACTGCGGCCTTGCACGGCTACACGGCGATCGTTCAAGATCTATTGGCGGCCGACGCCAACTACGACTGCGCCAACCAGGTAGCGCTCTAAGTCTTATGCTCGTACTTATAACAGCCATGTAGCTAGGGCAGACACCGCTGCTGGCGGCAGCGATGGCCGGGCGGAAGGAGGTTGTTGCACTGCTACTCTTGGCTGGCGCCAAGATCGACCACTGCAACGACGTACGCTGGCCATCGCGTCGTCGCACTCGCCGAGCCGTTGTCTTATGATTAGTTTGGGCACTCGGCTGTGTTTCTCGCCGTGTACAAGGGCCATGTCGATGTGGTCGCCCAACTTGTGGCCGCCAGTGCCAACGTCAACCTCGCCAACGACGTACGTTGTCCTGTGCTTTGCAGACCAGAAACGGCGGATCCTTAAGTACGGGGCCTTCTATAGGAAGGCTGCACGCCGCTCTTCATTGCCGCCAAGCGCGGGCTGCGCGACGCCGTCAAGCTGCTGCTGGACGCGGGGGCGAGTACGCACCTCAGCGACAAGGTGGCAGAGATCGTGCTGCGAACATTCTTTTGGTGCTAACAGCAAGTGGCGTAGAGTCAAAATACTCCGCTGCTCATGGCGGCCAACGGCGGGTACACGGAGATCGTCTCGCTCTTGATCGCGGCCAAGGCCGACGTCAACCAGCCCAATCAGGTTGATGTTGAATAATGCTAGGGCTAGGGTTCTCATTTCAACGGTAGAGCAAGGATACCCCGCTGATTTGGGCCGCCGACCGGGGCCACGCCCCCGTCGTGCAGTGTCTCTTGGCCGCCAAGGTGAACGCCAACCATTGCAACACGGTTCGTACTTCTATAGTGAGCCTACGCGCATACAGAATGGCCCTAGGCAGGTCGGTCGGCACTGCTGGTCGCTGCGCGGGGTGGCCACGTCCCCGTGGTGGAGCTGCTTCTCGTCGTGACAGCTGACATCAACAAAGCCGATATCGTGCGCCAAATATCGATGTATTCGCGACGAAACCAAACGCTATAGAACGGAGAAACGGCCATCTACACCGCTGCCCGACGGGGCCACGTTGCTGTTGTCAAGCTGCTCGTGGCCGCCGGCGCCAACACGCACCTCCCCGACAAGGTACGATTCGTTAATTCCTAGCCCATGTACGAAAATATTGTAGGTGAATCCGCTGACGATTGCGCGTCAGAACGGCCACCACACGACGGTGCGCGCCCTTCTCACAGCTCAGAAAGTATAGCTGAATCAAATGAGCGCACACTCACACCAGAGCCTAGGCGCAACTGAGTGCGCTCAAACCGCCCGTACTGTGCTTGGTCAAGCTCGGTCGCGGCCGGTACGGGGACGTGTGGAAGAGCTCGTACCTCGGCCACACGGTCGCCATCAAGACCATGTACCCGAGTAACGACGCCGCCTTTCTCAGTACTTTGGACCGCGCGCAGCAGTAGGTTTCTTCGATGTTTGGCAGCGCCTCACTGAGAGGTGTAGGCTCGACTGTCCACACCTTGCGCGGTATCACGGCATCGTTCACTCGGCAAACGGCACACACCGCGTCGCGATCGAGTACGTTGATGGCGGCAGCGTTCGCGACTACCTCGTCAAGCTCCAGCGACGCGAGCGCACGTCCACCTCGACAGTTGCCGTGGCGGTCGCCGCAGCACGAGGCCTTGCCGCCTTGCACACCGCTGGTCTCGAGCACGGTCGCTTCACAGCATCCAACATTTTTCTCTCGACGACGGCGGTGGCCAAGCTCACCGACTACTGCTTGGACGACGCTTCCCTCTGGGCGCGCACGTCGGCGCCCGAAGTCCTCGCCGGCAGTAGCCCGACGTCGGCGGCGGATATCTACGCTTTCGGGCTTTTCTTGGTGGAGATGGAGACGCGCCAAGCGCCGTTTCCAGAGCTGCATGACATCGACGTCATGGCGGGCGTCAAGCAAGGTACATTGCAGCCCCAATGCTCTGCGTCCTGCGCCCCATGGTACCGCAACCTCGTGCTAGCGTGCGTGCAAATAGACCCTAAACGCCGACCGACCGCCGCCGATGTCCTTCAGTGTCTAGAGTCCAATGCCAAGTTAGCAATGTAATCGATAGACATGCTTTGTTGGCGCAAACGCCGTATGAAGGCCGCGACTCGGACTGTGCACACACCAAGAAGGAACGCGGCGCTTCCTGAACCATGTGTTAGAGCGTACGAACTCAAGCGCCCTTGACTCGAGTTGACGCAAACAAACAGCTAGGAAAACGAAAACTACGCGGGTTTAGGGTTTGTATGAAGACGTCTGCAGACTTCAACCTCGACTATCGTGGTGCTTTCTACCCTTATTCATTGCCAGGCCCAAGCCCCTCTAGAGTCTAGCACCACGAGACAAGTACTCCACGTTTGGGTGTCATCTTCACTGATCAATCAGATGCCAAATGACACGCTTTCCGAAGATCTGGCGAGTGTTGATCCACCGGCTATCCTCCAAACCGGTTGCGTTGTCGCTTCAACCGAGGTGTGCGAAACCGGTTTGCACTTGACAATCGTGGAGCCTTGATGCCCAAAATCCCGTCCGCGCCCGCGAAGCCGCAGCAATGCGAAAGCAACGGCGTACGGTACGACAAGATCTTAGTCGCGTAGCTACGTATGATGCGCCTCGAGGATGGCGCAAATGTCTTGGATCGACGGGCGCGCCGACGGCTCTTGGTGCAAGCAGGTCTCGACGAGCTCTCGGAACCACAGATCGCAGCGCGGGCTCAGCTCGGGGCGCAGCCAGCCGTTCTTGATGGCGACCATGACCTCCCAGAGGTCCATCGTCAGCGTCGCGTACGGGGCCGCGCGCGTCTCGAGCTCGACGAGGACGATGCCGAGGGCGTAGACGTCGGCGGCCGGCGACGCCTCGTGGCCCAAGAGGACCTCGGGCGCCGTCCAGCACAGCGTGTTCTCGACCGGGTTAGTCACGTGGAGCTGCTGCGGGAGGCCGTAGCCCGCGAGCTTGGCGACACTCGGCGTCATGGCCGGCAGCAAGACGTTGGTGCTCTTCAAGGCGCCGTGCACAATCTCCCGTTCGTGGAGGTAGCGCAACCCCTTAGCCATCGAGATCGCGATCGGCAGCAGACTGGCAAAGGTCGCGCTCTTGTGCGTGTCGAGGTAGTGGCGCAGATGGCCGCCGTCGACGTACTCCATGACGAGCAGCGGCGGCTCCAGCGGCGGCAGCTTGAGATAGCGCAGTCGCACGAGGTTGATGCAGTCGAGTCTACGCCCCATCACATGTATTGTATCCTTCCTCCTACACCAAGCATTGCCTACTTGGTCAGCGCAGCGACGGCAGTTGCCAATGACGTGGTCGACTCGCCATGATGCACAAACACCGACTTGACCGCAACTTGTTCGCTGCGAAAGGTGCTGCGGTAGACAAAGCCTTGGTGGCCGCGGCCGAGAATTTGAAGACGCGGCAGCTCGTTGGCCTAGACGTGTGATGAGACTTGTGGCAGTAATAGAGCGGAGGACCATGGCCGTCGCTTCCGAGAGCATTTGAAGAATGTCGTCGTGCCCGTGGTTGCGGGCCACCGTGAACGGATCAAACTAATCAATGTGCTTGTCAAGTAAAGGTACTAGAACTGACGTACGAGGCGCGAGGGCGATAGAGAGGCGCCGGCGAGAAGCAGCTGCCGCACAATCTCGCTGTGGCCCTTGGCGATGGCTACGACGAGCGCCGACACGCCATTCTACCAAGAACGTCACGGGACGCTCGGCGGTAACCACGCTCGTACCTAGTGGCGTGGTGGGCGTTGTCGGTGTTGAAGATGGGAAGACAAGGGTAGTACCTTGTTTTGTTTGTTGAGGTCTGCCTTGGCCGATAGCAGGCGTGTGACTTCCGGTATATGGCCGCCCCGGGCAGCGACGAAGAGCGAAGACTCGCCAAACTACGTAGCACGTCGACTCTTGGCAGACATTGCAGGCACACCTAAGGGTCGAGTTGGCTAGAAAGGGCGTTGTAGTCGTTGCTATACCTTATCGAGTTGGTTGACGCTGGCGCCGGCGTCCAATAAGAAACTCAGAACTGCGAGGTGGCCATACTCGGCAGCCAGTAGCAGCGCTGTCTTTCCTTTCTAGTCATCGTCGAGATTGCGACTTCGACTAACAACGACTAACTAGAATACCACGTCGGTCGAGTCGATCGGGACACCGAATGCGATCAGGCGGCGTACGATGGTTTCGTGGCCAGCGGCGGCGGCGGCCAGCAAGGCTTCGGCGTCCTCCTGCACCAACAGGATACATACAATTGCGATAGTTCAATAGAGTACCTGCGTCGAAAGCGCATGCGTCGCAAGGAAGCACTCGAGGACGGCGTCGTGACCGTTGGCTGCCGCAACAGCCATGGAGTCTGTCTAGCAACACTCAACATGAGCGACCAAGTCGTCGCAGTTCATACAACGTACCAAAGACTGCTTCGACTCTTGAACGCGAGGCAGGAGAAGCGCCACGACGTCGCCATGTCCCCGCTCTGCCGCCACGTACAGCGCCGACCGTCCTTTCTAGAGGACGGTGTTGCAAGCACTCTCGAGGTCGTCTTCGTACCGGCGACGTGAGGGTGACGTTGGCGCCAGCGCACAGAAGGAGCTCGACGATGCCGGCATCCCCCGCGGCAGTTGCCAGAACCAGCGGTGGGACCTGTGACTAGACCCAGGGCTAGGACGATAGATGACGCTGGGCACCGTACCTTGTCGCTGGCATCGGGAGCTGCACCAGCGTCCAGAAGAAGCTCAACGATCGCAGCATGGCACTTGCGAATGGCAGCGACGAGCGGCGGTCGGCCAAACTAATGCGAGCGCTTGCGAACCGACGACGAAGGATGCTGGGTTCGTACCCAGGTGCGCGCGTTGGCGTCGGCGCCAGCCTCGAGCAGCAACGCCACCATGGCAGTGTTCTCCGTAGAAGTTGCCAGGTAGAGCGCGTTGCAGCCCTAGCGCACGTCAACAGCGGCCAGCAGCAATCTAGCGGCAGACCTGGCGGACGCTGTTGGGGCTCACGCCGTGGTCGAGGAGCCGCTGTACGTAGCTCTTGTCGCCGGCAAAGGACGCGCACGCGAGGTCGCTCTCTGCCTATTACGATAAACTAGTATCGTAGCGTGGGCAGAGGAAGGTAGTACGCCGAGGCCAACCCAGTCCAAGACGCCCATGAACAGAAGATTGCCACACTGGCAGTCACCTGCCTTAGCACTGTGCAAAGTTCGATTCCGCACTTTACCGGTACAATTGGGTGTCGTTTGATCGCAAGAGCTCGGGCAAGCGACCATCGCTGACTCAACACGAAGCGCTGCGATGCTACCAAAGCCCTAGCTACTACTCTGCATCGAGGGCAAAGCTAGAATTGGATTGAGTGTTTACCCTCCTACATGCAATGA